CGCGCCAGCAGCTGCCGCTGTTTCGTTTTCAGCCATCTGGGGACCCATCTGTGCCCGCACCAAAGGTCACTCCTGCGAAAAGTCACTCTTACGCCTAGTCGATCCCTCTTCTAGGAAAGAGGAGGGGAAGATGAGGGTGGAGGAGGATGGAGGAGTCGACGTGGTGGTGGTGTATATCCTTGAGACCCACAGGCATGGCGCACTGCACCAAGTGGCACCGGCCAGCAAGGCACACAGCACCTCACGGCCCCCCCCGTGGCCTCACCGCCTATGACTGGGGCCGCTCAGCCTCCCGATGTCGTCGCACTAGCCGCGCGACACCGCACGGCATGGCACCTCGGCACCACACGGAACCATGCAGCATGGCAATGACGTAGCCACACCCGGCCGCGCGTGGCGATCCACGCGTGCTTTAGCGTCAGCGACGACAATGTCTGAAAGGCGAGGTGTGATTTGCTCGTGACAGAGACTGTGGGCTTTGATCAGCGCGACAGGCGCGCGTAGGCCGCGGGCAGCCCGACCTGCCGAACCTCGCTGCCTCAAAAGGAGGAGGTCGTCGGCGCCTATATTAGCACAGGCCGCGCTCGAAGGCTCTTGAGGAACCGTCAACGGCGCGTACTGCATGCCGTGTGCCTTAACCGGCTCGTCCCGAGCCCGAGCGTAAGATTCCACGAGACGTCATGGGCCATGACGTGTCCAAGCAGCTGAGCCACCGATCTCGCGAGCAGCCCGCAACTCATCACCGTCGCCGTACCCCATGACACATCGCCCCTCCCCCCCTACCCTCCTCCTCCTCCTCCTCCTCCTCCTCCTCCTCCTTCTCCTTCTCCTCCTCCTCCTCCTCCTCATCCGTCCTCCTCCTCCTCCTCCTCCTCATCCTGCCTCCTCCTCCTCCTCCCTCTCGCCACCTCCTCCTCCTCTCATCCTCCTCCTCCTCCTCGTCCTCCTGTTCTCCTCCTCCTCCTCCTCCTCCTGTTCTCCTCCTTCTCCCCCTCCTTCCCCCCCTCAGCCTGCCGCGGCGACGAGCGTCAGGGCCTGCCGCCAGGGGCCTGCCACGAGCACCGCGGCTTCCCACCGACAGTATGGAGCATCGCTTATGTCCGATCCCTATCCCCAGCGGCGTGGCATGGGCCCCACCTGTCGATGTACCCCCCCCCCTCCCCCCAGATGGGGATACAGGCCGTCCCCTTCGGGTTTCGAGGGGTGTATCCCCAACCGGGGGTCTCGAAGAGGATGGGGATGGGGATGGGGCTCGGCTAAACGATACTGTTCCATGTACCCCCGATCCCACCACTGGAGGCCAGAGCCACAGGGAACTATGCAAGCAGCACCGTTCGGGGGGACGCGCGCATGTTTTGGACCGGCGCTGGGCCACTCCCTGGCGCACGGAGCGCGCGCCAGGGGCGTCGCCCGAGGGCCTGCAAAGAGCCCCAGAAGGCGGAAACAAGGCAACGGTGCTGTGTCGGGACCTTGTCCTCCGCGGAAGAACGGGCCTTCCTTCGTGACCGCAGTGCGCGTTGGGAAAAGAGCACGGAAGCAGAGCCGGCTTGGAGAACGACGCCTCCCAGGCGAAGGCCACGCTGCAGGTGGTGGCCGATGCACTGGCCGATGAAGTGAAACGCTGCCGCGGGGCGAAACTCCGCCCGCGAGGTCGAAACGGGAGCCTGTCTTGAAACTGGGGGTCCTCCACACCGCTTCTTCCCCTCTCCTCACCATCCTACTCCACTTGATCATTCTTGTTGAAAGTGAAGACCTGTGCTCTATACAAGGGCATCGTGCGACGCGGCAGCCCACAATACCTGAAGAAGAGGGGGGGGGCACAGCAGAAGGCATCTAAGACGAGTCTGGCACATTAAGAAATTATATTAACTCGCTTGCCGAACGAAAGCTGCACGCGGACTCGTGCCGCCCAGAGCCGTCTGATTCAAGAAACGTAACCGAATCTGGATGTACAAGATGCCGCCATATTTGTGTCTGAACGACTTCCATGGAATCATAGTCATAGCCGAACTTGCGACGATTGGAGAATCGGTGCGCGTTGACGTTACGCTTGAATCATGGACAGGGGTAAGGAGATGATCGGCATGCGGCTATGCGCCTCACCGCGATGGTCAGCGAAATGGCGCAGCAGAGCTTGGCTCCGCAAGCAAACATGTCAAGTATTAAGCGACTCCGTTTAAAACGGCAGGCCGCTGCAGCAAAAAAAAACTCATGTCGATAGCCCCTTCCATGCACCAAGTGAGGGCACCTGAAACATTCAGATAGACATGGCTGGCAACCTGTCAAGAAGAGTACGATTGAAGGGGGTATCCAGGCGTAGCTTCCGACTACAGTCGACAACGTACCCATTTAGTGTAGATGTGTGCGGTGACATCTTGGTGGGGCAATCAATTTGTTGCAACCTAGGCAGTGCAATCTATGCGGTGCATGGCAATGCATAGCAATGCCAAGCAATACACTGCAGTGCAAAAACAATGCAAAGCAATGCAACGCAACGCAAAGCAACGCAAAGCAACGCAAACCAATGCAAAGCAATGGCCAAGCAATCACAGGCAACGCAGAGCCATGCAGAGCAATGCAAACACAGCAATGCAAAACACTCCAAAACCATTCCAGCACAGACATGCGGCACAACACAAAACAACATGAAAAGCAATGCAACGCACCGCCAACCAGATGTAAATCAGAACCCCGGCAATGCAAAGCAACGCAGTGCAACGCGAGGAGTGGCGGCAACGGGCCGGCCAGCGGCGACGGGCGGCCACAAGCTGGCCGGACCGACCCCGGGGCCCGGTGCAGGTGGCGGCGACGGACGGAGGCAACGGGCGGCCGCAGGCATGGCCAGACCGACGCCAGGGCACAGCCACTTTCGGAAAGAAGGGATCACCCATCTCCTCCTCCCCCTCCCCCTCCTCCTCCCTCCTCCTCCTCCTCCCTCCTCCTCCTCCTCCTCCTCCTCCTCCTCCTCCTCCTCCTCCTCCTCCTCCTACCTCCTATGAGTGCAGGCAATGTGTGGTGAAAACGGCAGAAGCATCAACTGCCAGATGTTGGCGTCAGAGGCGGAGTCAGATGCGCCGCCAAGGCCAAGAGTGGCCCAAGCCGATCCGAGACATCCGCGCGGAGATCCTAATCTTCATGCTTCTGCGATGTTCTTCTTCGAGCTTTGTGCCACAAGCGTGTACGTCTTCAGCAGAACGTAGAGGCAAGAAACACTGGCGAACAGGTCGCATCCACCGACGAAGAGGCCCACATGCACTGGCGAGCATGAACAATCGATCGAACCATCGGGCCAGGTCGACAAAGCATGTTAGAACTCACCGTCAACCTTGCAGCGTCTTTGGACGATATCCACCGTCTACATAATGCACCAGCCGACAAAAAAAACGCATGCACCTCCTCAACTAAGGAGCCTACAAAAGGACGCGCGCGCCCAACCAAGTACATGAATATGCCTCCCCCCAGTCCGCAAAAGACCAGCCTCATGATACGAGCGTTCGCGCAATGCGTGCTTTCGAAACCAACGTGGATTAGTGTAAAGGTACGTCCTTCGATCGCTCCTGATCAACAGCAACACGCTGATGGGGTCGCCCGCTCCGCGTGGCATTGATCCGCCGTGTGCATTCCGAGGCAACGGAGGCGAACACGGCGCAAGCTCAGGGCGGCCGCCCGGCGGAGCCTGCCACGGCCTCCCCGCGCCTCCTCCTTGGGCGGGGGGCGGGGGAAGGCACCGATGGGCGCTTCTGTCAACGGGGGGGGGGAGAGAGGACTCGATGAGCAACCACGCGCCTCCTGGGGGGGCGAACAGAAAACGGCACCAACGTAATTTCTCAGAAAACCTTGCGGATTTCTCGGGTCGGCGCTGGGCCCACCTTCACTGACGCTCGGAGCGCGCCAGGAGCGGCTCTGGAGACGCCGCCAAGGAGGAGGGGGGCCCAGCGCCGATCCAAGAAATCCACTCGAACCTCCGAAAATTATGTACATGCCTTTTGTTTTCGTCGGCACACCTGGACAATACCCCATGCAAGCCAGATGATCCTGGAAACGGAGAGAAACAAGGAGGCGGTGGGAAGGATATTTGAGCAAGAACAAATGCAAGTCGGAGATACGCTTCCATGCAGAACCTCAATAAGTACCGTGCCCATTCCGCAGGCTTCACTTCGCACTAACTTGAGGCACTTCATGGTCATATAAGCGTAGTATGTATCATCAACGCCGCCACAGACTTCACAAGCTGGCCCACGCACGCTTACAGTCTACACAGGAGGCCGAGGGCGCGCACCATAAAAAATACGCGCGATCCCACAACACGTTCCGGGAACGTGAGCTTCCGAGTTGATGGACAATTGCATTGACCGCTCATGAATAGTTTGGGCAGAATAATTGTGCGAACAGCTGAGATAGCTTAGTGGGGTAAGCTTGGGCCTTCGACGCCATAGCACGCCCTTTCTAATTCAACATGCAGGCGCCCTGTGTAGCGACATACTCCAGAACCGTGACATACATGTTGACCACAAAGACTGGCCGTACATTAGGCGGGTGTTCTTTCTCCGCGGAGTACCAAACGAGTACTGGTCAACATCCTTGACCAAGACACGGACGTCCGCGGCGAAGTTGAAAAACTCTGAAGTGTGCCACAGCAAGCTCCAATTGATTCCCCACTGCCCACGGAATTCTGAAGCGACGCAGCAACCGAATCAGTTTCAGCATAGTGGACACTGGCCAGTTATCAGAGGTCAAGGCGCGGACGTCGTTATCTGAAAAAGGCTTGGCGGGAGACGAGACTCCCCAGGGCTCGGCCCGAGATCGTCTCACGTTATTGCGGTGTCGAGCTATGCCCCAGGACCTGCATTCAAATGCGATCATGGCGGCCAATATTTCCCCAGCGCGGATGCCATAGCGCCCCGCAGCCGTGCCCACCCCATCGGTGCCTCCGCGCAAGTCCGCTAGGTGCGGCATCGAGTCGGATGCACTGATCTCGGGATGGCGGGCGGCCAGGTGACCGCGGGCTCTATCCAGACGCACAGAAAGTCTTTGAGACGGCGTTCGCACATCTTCACGCGTGCCGAGATGGACCCGCGCAGCTTGTCGACGCTCACTACGATCTTGGCCTTGCTGTCGCACCAGAGCACGCTCTTGTCAGCCTTCGACCTCCCGCGAGCTTTGATCTCCAGCCGCGCTCGGTACTTCAGAGCGGCGTCGATGCCGGCGCCAGAGTGCCTTGCCTGATAGGGCGCAGCCTTGATTCTAGGCTGTTTGCAAGCTATGTGGAATCGCCTACGACATGCCGCATGGGCGAAATTAAACACCATGTGTTTTGGGTTGCCCTGCACACACACAAGCGCCGCAGCAGCCTGGGTGCACATGCACGGCGCCCAGCGGCAGCTGAGGCGGATGCTCTAGTCGGTGGCATACGTCGTGGACGACTCTCTGCGCTGTCGCCAGAAGGCGAAGCAGACCCACGAGACAGAGAGCCTGCTTGCGGGGGCCAGCAAGTCCCCCCCCCCTCCAGAAGCTCCAGGGGCTCCGAGGGCAGCATGCACGACACCAGCATGAACATGGCGTAGAGGGCCACATTCCAGAAGTTGTCGCGGCACATCTCCCATGGGATAGCCGCCCAGATGCTCGAGGCCAGGGGGCGCGGAGAGCGCGGGGGGCAGCGGCGCCGCCATCCCTGCAAGGCTCGTCGACAGCGGAGAATGGAAGCCAACGTGCGTTCCGAACTCCGGAGCGGAGTAACCCAGGCCCGCCGCCAGCTTCTCCCCGTGGCCGACGATCTCGCCGTCGTCGAAAAGATCTTCCGGGCGCAGGGCCGCTGACGCACCCGCCGCAGAAGCCTGGTTCTCGGCGCCCTTCCTCCGGGCCGCGACCAGCTCGCGGCGCTGGATCTCGGCGCGCCCCTGGCACGCTGACGACTCCAGGAGAAGGGGGCCCAGCCCAGCTAGACGCTTGGGCTCGACCCTTCGCCGCCCTCTTCGGCCGAGGCGGCGAGAGAGCTCGCGCTGTCCGAGCGGACCCGGCGAGGACCTCCTCCGCGACAAAGGTGGCGTCGCTGTTCCTGTCCGCCTTCTCGTCGTCGCCCTCCGGGGCGATCTCGAGGGAGACAGTCTCCCACTCCTCCGAGGAATATTGCAGCCGCCCGGCCATCGCCGAGCAGGGGGCCAGCAGCCGCGCTGGCGTAGGGGCCGTAGGAGTCAGACGGGAACTTCTGGAGTCCCGAAGAGGCGCGGTGACAGACCGTGCGGCGACCTCCGAACCCCAAGAGACATCGCCGCACGGTCCGTCACAGCACGGTTTTGGGACCCTGGAGGCCCCTGTCGCCCGAGACGCCCTCGGAGAACGACCCGAGTCCCAACGCCGCGCTGTGACCCCGAATCCCCGCCGACTCACCGCACGGCGCGGTCGCCACCCGGTTTGGGGCCCCCGAGAACTGCCCGAAGGCGCCCTCGTCCGCGCCGGGGTCGGAGTTGACGCGCCAGCAGCCGCGGGCGGCAGCTTCCGCGCCCAGAGCCCCCCCCCTTCCCACGCGCGGCCCGCGCCCGGGGGGGCCCGGCGCCCGCGCGGAGCAGGGCGTCGGAGGGCAGGGCGCCGAGAGGGCCTGTCGGCCGCGCCCCACTCCGAGGGCATCCACCGCAAGTAAATGCGCAATCCGAGGCAGAAGAGGCGCCAATCACTCATCCTTCGAGTGCACATACGAGTCCGAAATTATATGCCGCACATCCGCTCGCAAGCAAGACGCACCCTCATGGTATCGACCAGGGGGGGTACTCGACAGTCCGTCAACTAATACTCGCTGGCCTGCGCCTGAAAGCCCAGAACCAAAGCCCAGGACTCCAGAATGTAGGTACCTTCGCCAGGGTACCTCCAGGGGCCTGCCAGAAGTGCACGCTGGCGCCCATCGCCTAGAAGCCCATGGGGGAGCTCGATGAAGCAAGGGTCGGTTTCGAACTGATGTCCCTGTCGTTGTCCGCCGCGCAGCGGCGGGCCCTCGGGGCCCTCGAGTTCGGCCGGGCCCGTGGGGCCGGGGGCCCCGCCCACGAATTGGCCCCGGGCCGAGGCCCCGGGGAGCTCGCTCAGAACCGACTGCGCCCGGGGGCGCGGCCCGCCTCGGCCGCGCTTCCAGCGTCGCAGAGGCTCGCCGCGGCTCCGAAAGCCTCCTCCGAAGCGCCCGTCGAGACGACCGCAGGGGCCCGGGGGAGGCCCTGGAAGAGCCCGCGAAGAAGAGCAGGGGGGCGGCGGCAGCCACCCCTTGTCGGGCGGTGCCCCGCAGAGGCGCCGGGTCGAGGTGGCGTTTGTTAATGGGCCCGTAGACGCCCTCAAGATGCCCATCATGCCTCGACCCAGGAGCGCGCAGAAGGTGAACTGCCGCAAGAAGACCCCGCATTCACGACCAGGTAGCTTCCGACAGCCCAACGCGATAAGGACACCTTGACGAACCTTCCAGAGCCTGGCCGAGGCGAGACAGACACGTGCCCCGCCGAGGTCCAACTTCGCACCCAAGGCCATCGCGCCCGGACCAACGGCCTCAAACGCCGAAGCTGCGGCGCGTAGATCCCTTTCCGCCCGCGCCGGGTCCGACGCCATGGCCCCCAATATATCCGCAGATATGCAGCGGCACATGCCAGGCCGAGGGGCGGGGGATCTCAGGGGAGCCCGAGGCAAGGGCGAAGATGCCAGGCCGACCTGTGACGGACCCGGCACCATCCGCATTCTCTGTTCCCCCGCCTGCCAGCACAGGGGCCGCAGAACCCCGCCCCCAGCAGACGCGCGCCAGAGTGTCCACTGCAAGCCACTCCCCATTCCAAATCTGACCAACCACTCCCAGCTCCCCGGCGGCAACCTGCCCCACGTCCGAGGTAGCCAGCGAGACCGGCGAAAAATCGAAAGCGGTGAAAAAGCGCCCTTCGCTCCAGCGAGCACGAGAGAGAGAGAGAGAGAAAAAAAAAAAAAAAGGAAAAGAGAAAGAGAGAGAGAGAGAGAGAGAGAGAGAGAGAAACCGAGAGACCGAGAGACCGAGAGACCGAGAGAGAGAGAGAGAGAGAGGGGCCGAGAGACCGAGAGACCGAGAGACCGAGAGGCCGAGAGACCGAGAGAGCGAGAGTGAGAGCGAGAGCGAGAGCGAGCGAGAGAGCGAGCGAGCGAGCGAGAGAGAGATATAGAAAAAGAGAGAGAGAGAGAGAGAGAGAAAGAGAGAGAGAGAGAGACACAGAGAGAGAGAGAGAGAGAGAAAGAGAGAGAGAGAGAGAGAGAAAACAAAAAAGAGAGAGAGAGAGAGAGAGATAGAGAGAGAGAGAGAGAAATGAAGAAAGAAAGAAATAAAGAAAGAGCGCTGGAGGGGCTGAGCGAGTTCGGGGGTGAGAGACTCGTGGCCCAGGGGGAGAGCGACCTCTATTCTGGCCAGGCTTTCACTAGTGCAAAGGTGGACTCCTGGGGGATCGGCGAACCTCCCATTGGCTCAACGAGCATCGATAATGCTACGGCTTCGGGCCCCCCCCCCGTCTCCTTCACGAAAAACAGCCCGACCCTCTCGCGAGCAGCTCCGGCGGGTCAGACCACTGCAGGGACGATGCGATGGAGGGCGCGGAGCAGCCGCGCAACCTTCCGGCGGCTGAGAGCACGCGCGAGATCCCAATATGGGGCTGAGCTGATTGGCGGAAGCGACTCTTGTCGCTCCAAAACTTCGGAACGCGGGCGACGTATGCGCGCGTAACTCTGCTGCAGGTACCGGTTCGCGAGGCGCCCCGCGACCTCGTGCACCTCCGGCGCCCCGTCGGGGCTGTCCGGGAGGCTCGCCTCAGAGACGCCGGAGAAACGGTCGCGCCCGCCGAACTCGGCGTCGTGGATGGCTCGGCCGCGCAGCAGCTCACGAAAAGCCACTCGCTGGCTGGGGGTCGCGCTTCCAGAATCCAAGCAACAAGGCGTTCCCGGACTCGCTCGCGCGCTCCAGCCTGCCCAGGCAGCGTCGCTGGCCCACGCTGCGGGCGATGGCGATCTCCTGCCCGCCAACTCGAAGCCGTAACTGCAGCGCTGGCGTCTGCACTCGCGCTCCTGATGCGCCCGCCCAGGGGGTCGCCCGACGGCCCTGCCCCCGCGGAAAATACGGGGGCGGCTGCGGCGGGATCGTGGAGAGGGGCAGCATGGGAGCGCGACGAGCGCCATCACCGCAGCCACCACATGCAGAGTCTTGGCCATCAGCGGCGGCGCGACCAGGGCCGCCGCTGCAAAGGGGCATCGCCCCTGCCCCGCCCCAGAGGGGGCGAGCATCTGCTCGCCGCCGCCGTCGGCGCCGCCCTGGCCAGGCTGGCCACGACCGCGGCCGCCCCCCTTGGCCCCGCGACTCGAGCGCGCACCTGGCCTGCGTCCGAGGCCGGGGCGACCCCGACAGGGCCCGCCCGCGCCGCCAACTGCTCCGTCGGTTCCGGCAGGGAGGCCACCGCGAGCTACTCCTCGGCGCGGCGGCGGGCGCGGGCGCGCATCTCGGGCGGCGCCGCCGAAGAAGCCGTTGACAACTGGGCGAAGTGCTTCGCGCCCTTCCAAATTGGCATGGCCTGGGGCCCCCGTCGTACGCGCTTCCATCGCCTGGCGCAGGCACGGCGACTCACCGCCTCGACGCGCGCCAGGGGCGGGCCGCTCACTTCGCTCGCGCGGAGGATGTCCGTCAGCAACTTCATCTCGATAACGCGAAACCCGAGCACTCCCAAGGGCTAACCCCCAACTCGCGGCACCAGATAGGGAGCCACAGACGAGGGTCGCCAGACAGGGCAGTCGGGGGCCCCTCATGGATGCGCCCCCAGTCGGCGCAGTGACTGTAGGACGCCTCTGCGCTCGCGTCGCGCCAAGATTTGAACCGCTCGCCGTGCTCATCGACGTTCGCGGAGAGGGCCCGGGCGCCCTCGCCAGACACGGGGGCGGCCGCGTCCCCATCCAGAGCCTGTCGGACACAGGCCCCCCCACCATCTCATCCAGGCACCTGCGGGCTGCCTCGTGGAAGCTGCCCACCTCGGAATCCTTCGCCTTCCACACCGCGACGGGCCGCCCGCTGCTGTCCGCGGCCACGGCGCACGCCAGGCGGCTGGGGCCGAGGGCAGCGGGCTCCGCTGATTCCCAAAGTCCGGTTGGAACGGGTCGACAATGAGCCAGGCATCGTCCCCCTCCAGCGTCGGGAGCACTTGGCCCACATCGGCGCTCGGTGAAGCCACGCGGCCATCAACCAGAGGCACGAGTT